TGCCCGCGACTTCGTCTGCGTGGTATTAGAAAACATACAAACTATATAAATTACAAAAAGCTACGTATCCCTCGGGAAACGGACAATTCTCTGGGATGAAGCTTATCCCATGTGTACTCCAGACTTTGTTTTATATCTGTGCCAAATTTCAATAAGATATGTTGAATCGTTGCAGAATGATTGAGTAAACATTAAAAAACTAAATTAATGAATCCCACGGGAACTGTAACTATTCCAGGGATAAAAAGTAGCCTATACTCGTATGTTCTTCCAGACTAAGCTCTAAACCTATGCCAAATTTCATGGAGATCCGTTCGGCCGTTTAGGCTACAAACGCTAACAAACATCCATCCATCCATCCATCCGTCTATCCATCCATCCTTCTAAACTTTCGCATTTATAATATTAGTAAGATTAGGTGTTCACGTGCGGCTTGATTCGCATGAAATTATGAAAATTTTATTTTGTTGTTTTCTTTGTCAAATTATCAATAGCAAATGTCAAAATGACATGACAAACCTTAGCAATCTTTCATTCCTGATGTTGGCAGCAACTTATGGTCTTTTACCCACCTTTGAGTTTTTATCCAAAATATTTACCCCCTAAGTTTAATGGCATGAAAACATATAGCCTAAAGCATGATGCAAGTGTAGGTAGTAATAAACATTTATTTACTCTCATTATTTGTAATGCGTCATAATTAATTTGAGAAAACATTGTTCTTTTTTTTAAATTTACAAGTTATAACTATGAATCTATAGATTCCAACTTCTATAAGAATAAAAATCAAAAATCGATAAGATTCATGACTGATTTTACACAACCATCCCTACAAAATTTGAAGTGAATTGTCAAACTAATCTATAATATCTCATTTAGACACACTATAATAGGTGTAAACCATGGAGGTAATAATATAACAGGAGGATGTTCTGTCTTTACCTCTTACAGTTAAAACAAAGAAAATAAAACCTTATGCTTAGGACGTAAGAGTCTTGTTGCACGCAAAATGAAATTGAAACGAGTGAGAGGGCTACATGTGTCTACTATTTCCCTTTCTAACAATGACTTAGAGTTGCCAGATATCAATCCTTTCGTTGTTTGTAGAAAAATAGGCAATTGATGTAATGTAAATACAGTAAAATATTTACTTTCAAAATGTTTTTAAATATTAATAATAAATTATTACTGACATGTTAAAGCAATTTTATTTGTTGTTACATGTAAAACTTTATTAACGCATAAAATTTGCGATTGGCGTACAGGTTTTCTTTTATTTGTTTGAAATTCGAACACCTGAACTGACAACACCGTAAGACATTGTGAAACCGGAATTCAATGGCGGTGTTTTTAAAATCCGTGACATTTTTAAAAATACTTTGTCAAAATGGTGAGAACTTGTGCCGTGGAGGCTTGCGAAAGCGAGTATTATCCTGATTGTGGTTTGTCTTTTCATAGGTAATCGTTTTAAACATAATCTGTTAGTGAAGAATTACAGTGACCATGCACGACTATCCAATCCTAGAAATCATGAGAATGATCTCTGGAATCATTAATCAAATTATACTCGATTATCGACTTTAAAATGTCAAATATTTTTAGAAAAAGTAAGAACTCTCAATCTCTCTAACGAATCTCTAGCGATTTGCATAAAAAAGGTCAAAAAAAGAGAAGTGTGGGGGCCAACTTCACGTTAAAAATTGAAATTGCTTTTACGGAGAAAGTAGGAACTCTCAAACGAAAGTTTCTTTCTCTCAAACTCTCTCTAATGATTCTCAAACGATTTGGATAAAAAAGTAAAAAAAACAAGGTAAGGGGGTCAACTTGACAGAGGTGTCCATCTGCATGTCGTGTCCCACAAGTACCACTAGGTAAGTAGTATATGACGCGTGAATAATGGTACAGGTATTGAGGTCTCGCACGCTTTCAATTCGACAAAAGCTCTATCCTGTTCAAGTAATACATCCATGGTGTAAACCTAGTTACTTGACGTTAGAAAAGTACTAGTGGAAACGCCTTCTAACTATACATGTAATAAAATTGAAGTGTCTGTTTGTAATATCAAAAGAAAAAAATCCAGATTTCAAAAAGATGATGTATTTTCGTTGGAAAAAATCGCATTAAAAAAAATTTTTGTTTATCTGCGGGCGACAGCTCGTTAGTAAATAAAATATCACAATGTTACATTCTCCACCACTTTGTATAAATTTTTTGTTATAGGCGTGACATATAAATAATTAAAAAAAAATACTCATTTACTTAGCGCAATTAAAATAAACACATAAATAAGACGTGATTTGATCTATACTTTCAGTCTTTTCCCAGGTGTGGAACACATATCGAGACGAAGTAACTTGAACTTTGTTTAAAGTAAGCATGTTTAATTATTAATTGATTTTCACAAATCTTTCTTTAGATTGAACACTAAATTTATTTCCTTACCCCTTATTCCTACTTTTTTTTAATTTGTCATAACAAAAATATTCATTAAAAAAATTAACAATTATCTAAATAATAAATTTGATCCTACTAAGTAATTGTAAAGGTTTATAACTTCATAATGACATAAATACTTTACAAGAACAATGTATTTGATACATTATAATCAATACCCTGCCCTTATCAATCCAGTTTAAGAGAATTACCTATATCATATGAAAATTATTTGTTTCAAATTAGGCAATATCACACGATGAGCATTATTGACTTTTACACTATGCCGGGATCGCCGCCAAGCACCTTTGTGGAGTTGACAGCCGCCGCGCTCGGCCTCACTCACAGGTTCAGGGTTCACGTCAAGTACTTGACGAATAACGACACACTAAAGGAGGATTTTATCAAGGTATAATGCAGTCGAGGACGTTTATTTTCTACCCATTCCAATAAATTGACATTTACCGTTCATAATTAGGTCCAAAACTTGACATAACAATAGGTATATACGCACTAAATCAGC